ACTACTGTAATAAGAAAGTGGAATTAATAAATGCGCCACTTGCCTGTGCTGTGCTGGGGACGGGGACCTCCTCGTCCACATATTGCAGATGGGGAGGCCCCAGGTAATCGGCCAGAAAGCGTACTATGAATTCCGTGAGGAAGTCAGTTGGGCTTGGCATCGTTAATGGCGTAAATGACTGCGGCTTTGCCTTCAAACCTAGGCGGCATCGATTACCTAGAGAAAGTCACCTAAAATTCGATCCCTTCCGCGGCGAGGCGAGGCGTGGACCCTCAGTAAATGTGCAATTACTGCCGCCGACCAAAATCCGCAAAATTATTACCCGTTTAAAAATGACGATGAGAGAACTAGGATTTACAAATTTATGAAGTGGCTTTTTACTTTGGGGTTCTTAAAATAGCAAAGTGCCTGCCAGGCAACAGAAATAATGGTTCTCAGTAGACAGATACTAGATATTATCACGTATTTAAACGTTATAACAGACGGTCTTAAAGGACATGAGCATGTGTACTGTACAAATTCACCATGTTACTGTAGTCTGTAAGACGAGTATAATACCTAGCTATAAATAAGGATAAATGGTAGCCGAACTAGGCAGGGAAGAGAAGAGATAAGAGTGGAATAATTCGTGATGTAGGGTTTTTGGCTTTAAGGAAGAGGTTTTTATTTCCGATTTGTTTTAACAATTCTTCTAATTTCTGACCTTAATCTTTGCTCAGACAGACAGATGGAAGTCGCTCACAATACTGCTGGAGGATGTTTGTGTTTTTGCCAAAATGGTCCTACCCAGATTTGCTAATTTCTTACAGGAAGTGCAGATGGATATCGTCTTGGTTAGTTTACGCCTGAGGGCGTCTTACAGTTTGTCCTTTACGGTAGAGCACGTGTACGTGTACCCCTAAAATATATTACTGTAAATTGCATCTATAATGTGGTAAAGTAATTAGGTCCCCGGAAATACGAGTTATTTCATTTGTCTATTTACAGAACCGACTGATGTTGAAACGTCAGGCGAATAAAAGTATTGACCCAGCGATCGAGTTGTCTTCTTCGCAATGTTTCATTTCCTTAGAGGCGTCCCTCTCAGTATTCCGTGTCCTATCACTTCTGCTTCTCTCAAAGTAATTTACAGATTCCCTCGTCGTTGGCATTAAACCAATCCAGCTGTTGACGACACGTAAGATAGAATTCAATTTTTAACTTACCACGAGGTTACTAATCTTGTGAGCAACTGGGAGGTTGCTATTAATACCTTATCCTGGAGATGGCACAACGTTGGTGCATCCATCATTCGGCAAACAGGCATCATTCGAGCCGCTGGCAGTTTTCCCTGGATACGCTTCCGATCAGTCCGATGGGAGTCAGGATGCAGCCACGTCCTGTTCTCCTGGATAGCGTAGTCCGCTTGGACGTGGACGCTGAATTTACCACGTCCAGTATGATTGTTCGCATTCAAAACAGTTGCCAGATTTTGTGCAGATCATCGTCGAACTGGCTTTTTATGTCATTTGTGCTGGAAATTGAAGTAGGAGAGGCAGGCGTATGCGGCGACGATTAAGACTTCGGAGAATTCGTGTCTGTTGAGAAGCAGCCTTGTGTTGATAGAACTGGGCACTTATCCCACGAATCCAGCGTCTCAACGCTCTGCCCTTGGAAGTCCGCTCTAGAACGAAGTGTGTGCGGTGCCAAACTCGTTACTTTGGAGAAGCGCGTCTCACTGGCGGTCACGGCGTCCGTTTCCTAGAGTGCCAGATCGCAGGTAACCGCACTCAGTCTTAATACCAGCCCACCCGTCATTATTTTCATTAAAACGAACACTTATTTAGGCTGCTAGATTTAAAATATTGTGTGTCGAAGGCAAGGAGCTATGGACGTTGTTTTACAGACTGTTGAGATCGTATATTTTGTATCAAAAGCCACCCTCGGCTTATATGCGAAGTGTGTAAGTGTGTTCGACCATCGATTTCGATGAAGTCCACCAACTGAACCAACAGGTTG